TTCAACAATAAAGAAGTATTTAAGGGGAAAAAAATATATGCTGTCACTGCACCACTCAAAATTTATAACCAACCTTGGAAAAAATGTACGATATGAAATTTAATTTTCACTTTCTCCCTGTTTAGAATTAGAGATGTATATTCAAAGAGAAAGATCATTTTTTCAGCAATCTTTTTAGGTGAAGTTTTATTGGGAGGGAGGAAATAAAAAAAAAGTAAAATAAAACCAGTAGGTACTTGAAACTCTGTATCTGTTTCTTTCATTGTTTGGTTAAAAATAGAAACCCAAAGAAGAAAACAATCATGAACAACTTTCAATTTACCCAATTTAAAGAAAGGAATATTCAAATTCCTAGTGATCATAAATAGCCTTCCAGAATCTGTTCAATGCATACATTTCAGCTTTATTTCACAAACAAATTATCCCAAATTAAAATGGTTTGCTTGATCATTTTTAACAAACCATGCACTTTTTTTGTTTCCTCCATGTTTTTATATAAAAACCTAATTAATATTCAACTTAAATTTTACATAGTTACTTCTGTAATATCAGATATTTTGTTATAATTATTTTCTCCATACCTTGTAATCCCATCTTACTTTATATCACTATTACAACATACAGCACATTCTTTCCTGTTCTTTAATTCTTTTATCTATGTCTATTTCCTGTGTGTGTGTGTGGAGGCCTTCAGGGCAAGAACAATGTTTATTGATCTTTTAATCCCATCAGTTACAATTCTGTGCCTAGCACTTTTCTTGATTTGAAATAAATTCCCATTGCTCTTTTAGTAAATCAGTTGACTCCAAAGTGTCCTGCCACTGCACAAATTAGGTTTTTTAAAGAGCCCTAGATCTCCGTAAGACCGGATTATTTAGGTAAAGAAAACTGAATAATTTCAAAATCTCAGAGCTTCTCAGAGATATAATTTTTGTAATCCTCACCCAAAGATATTCATATTTTTAAAGTTTTTTTGTTAATACCCAAGAATATTTTTCCATTGATTTTTTTTTTTTTTTGAGAGAGAGTGTGGCAGGAAGGGGGAGACATTGATGTGAGAGACACACATTGATTGGATGCCTCCCACATACACCTCAACCAGGGCCAGGGATCCTGCTTGCAACCAAGGTATCTGCCCTTGATAGGAATCAAGCCCAGGACCCTTCAGTCCTCAAGCCAAAGCTCTATCCACTGAGCCAAACAGGTTAGGGCTATTTTTTAATTTTTACTTTAGAGATAGGAAGATGTAGGGAGAGAGAGAAACATCAATCAGTTGTATCCACAAGAGATGAAACCTACAATCTATGTATGTACCCTGACCAGCAATAGAACCCTCAACCTTCTGGTGTTCAGAATGATGCTTCAACCAAATGAGCCACCTGGACAGGACTTAGATGTAGGATTGTTGATGACTCATGATGTTACCACCATAATACTGACAAATATGTAACTCAAGGCCAGTGTTTTGGGGCTGGGGGACAATAGAGGTCATTTGATCCATCTCAAAATATTATAGCAACAGGAGTGTGCCACCATAAAGCAGGGTTCCACTCACCCTAGAATTCAGGGATGTTTGTAAAACATGGTAGGGGTGTCTTACAAGGATTCTTTCCACATGATACCATAGACCTAGAAGGGAGACCATCCATCCAAAGGAAGAAAAAAGTGGACATATAAACTTTAGCTGAATGTTGGGGTTCAGATAAGAGTGGTGGGGTGGGAAGGTTGTTAGTGCCACAAAGAAAAATTCATTTAGCTTATTTTACTCTGTAGCACCTTTGGGCTTATGCATGAGAAATGGCACATACAAATTATGGCCAGGGTTAATTGGCCCAGCAAAAACTCAAGGACTCTGGCAAGGACAATCTTAATTTGACAAAGGGGGATAATCTCTAGCCTCATATAATTTGACACAGAGTTAGGGGTGAAGAATTCTCCTCAGTTCCATCGAAGTGGGGATTGCACGGTGACCTCCAGCTCCTGCTGACTCCGCTGGTGAGCTGGCCTGTGGAGCAGCTTCAGACAGGAAGGCATTTGTGGTCTGCAATGTGAGAACTACCTGCAGAGATGGGGCAATGGCCAGAGGAAGTTCACTGTAACTCTGTGAAGCATCATGAGAATCCTTTAAGCTTCAGAACATCCCCACAGGGAGAGAGCTGACTGCTCAGTGGAGGAAAATGGCCAGGTTATAAACAACACATCTGGCCCTAGCTGGTTTTGCTCAGTGGGTAGAGTGTTGGCCTGCGGATTCAAGGGTCCCAGGTTTGATTTTGGTTAAGTGCATTTACCTTGGTTGCGAGCACATCCCCAGTGGGGGTATGCAGGAGCCAGCTGATGGATGGATGTTACTATCTCATCTTTGTTTCTAGCTCTCTCTCCCTCCACCTTTATCTCTGAAAAAAATCAAACATATATATAAAAACAGCACATCTGTGTGCATAAGGGAACTCTCAGAAATGGAAGACTGTATGGGGTTAGAGATGGCGAATGGAAGAGTAACCCAAAATGCTGGGACCAGAAGCATTTGAGGAAGACTATTGATTATGACTGTGAAAGTGACATCAGCTGTCACCTCTAACTGAATTAGTAATAGCAAAAAAATTAGTAATAGCTTCTTAGAGATGAGAAAACATAGGTCTAGCAAAATGAGTTTTTACATAACTAAAGAGTGAAAGCTGATTCTTCCTTTCCAGGTCTTTTTTTCTCCCCTACATTATTTTCTGGAACTCTTATTTCCTCCCTTACTTATACAAAGAAACAAATGCCTTTATTGCTCTGCCTGTGGCCAGGGGATCTGACTTCAACCTCAATAATGAATCCATTTCCAAGCCTCTGACTCTACATCAAACTAAACCACCCACCAACACAAGTTTTTTTCTGCAATCATAGGGAGAGGCAATGAATAAGTTATTTGGGTAGTCTGCATGTGAATACTTGAAAACTAGAACAGCAGTTTGATGTGGTGGTATATATCAGCAGGTTCTACTGGTGAAATTGTTTTTATACCAGGCAGGTCACCAAACTCCTGGTATCTACTGAATGAGGATGCTAGGTTCATTAGATCTCTTTGATTTCTGCAAATCCCAACAATTCTGTCCCTCATATTCTTTTTCTTTTTCTTTCTTTCTTTCTTTCTTTCTTTCTTTCTTTCTTTCTTTCTTTCTTTCTTTCTTTCTTTCTTTCTTTCTTTCTTTCTTTCTTTCTTTCTTTCTTTCTTTCTTTCTTTCTTTCTTTCTTTCTTTCTTTTCTTTCTTTCTTTTAAATCTTCACCTGAGGGTATTTTCCCATTGATTTTCACAGAAAATGGAAGGAAAGGGGGTCGGGGAGAGAAATATTGATATGAAAGAAACACATCAATTTGTTGTCTCTCCAGCAGACCCCCACACAGGACAAGGTTCTAGCCTGAAACTGAGGTGCATACCCTTGACTGGGAATTGAACCTGTGACCCTTCAATTCACAAACAAAAGCACTAACCACTGATCTCCAGCAGGGCTGTTCCTTATATATTGATTAAACCTTGAGATTTTGTAAGACAGCTTGTGTGTTTGTTGCTACTCTTAGGAATTTGGGGTTGTAGGATGTTGCAGTGGAATGTAGCCATCTTTCCCAGGAGAGGGGAGCTTTAAGCTCACAGACCTAAACCCCCTCTGCTGACTTGTAAGCCTATATGGAATACCTCATGTTATGGGTAACCTTTTCATCTCTTGGAAGTTATTTCAAATAACAGCTTCCCCCAAAAAGCAGCCTCCTATTCCCTGGATTGGATTCCACTGTGTTTTTACTTTGCTTCTAGCATGCTGATAACAGATTTAGCCTTTTCACCTTCACTGCGAAGAGGGAGTTGTCAATTTAAAGTAGATGACACAAAGGTCAGGCATTTTTCTGATGGTATTTTATGCTTAATAGTCAGGAAAGAGGGTCCTGCATACAGTTTTCTTTAAATTAATTTTCTCTCTTGGTTGAGCTTCTGTACATTTAGAAATTGGATAAAAGTGAACATCAAAGAGTCCAAATTTTTTTTGACTACTTACATCTCTTTCCCAAACTTCCTAATGGTAAACTTCCTAATGGTAATGGATTAGATTTGATCCCCAGTGTGGGGTGGGCAGGAGGCAGCCAATCAATGATTCTCTCTCATCATTGATGTTCCTATTTTTCTCTCTTTCTCCCTTTCTCTCTAAAATAAACTCACACACCCACACACAACCTATTTCATCCCACAATTAATTTGACAAAATTTGGGATGTCTACATATGTCTATTGAGATATGGTTTTTCATATATGATGAAGTATATCAGAATGAGCAAAATAAAATAGCTTTTATATCTTTGGATTAACTATTTTCTACTACTATTCTTGAACAATAGTGGTTTTCATAATGTTTACATTTGCTTCCAATCTGACACTTAAAATGACTCAGACTTAAATTAAATATTAACTAAATTTACTATATGCAACCCAGCTATTAGGGAAATGTAAAAAATAAGCACATATTTCTTTTTTTATTGAGGTTTCACTTATAATAAAAGAATAAAAACAAATATATCCACAAATGATCATTTGGAAATGATGCTATAAGGGAGTACTATTTAGCTGTAAAAAGGATGAGGACTATCTCTTCCTATGTGCAGGTAGGAAAAGAGGTCCAATATGTAATATATATATATATAAAATAAACAGGGACATCATCTAATAACCAGGGGCATCATCTAATAAACAGGAAACTGTGTATATATGTGCATATGTATGTGAGTCCATTGCCTAAGCTCCTTGAGTCTCAGGCTTTGCTTCTATGTAACAGCAATAATGATATTTGCCCCAGATGATTGTTATCAGGATTAAGGAAAATAAAATTAGATACATGAAAGGTCTTGGTGCTGAATTACTAATGTTCCCTAATCTATGTGAGGAAATCTATTAGGGAAACTTGAGAACTTAGAAAAAAATAAGAGAAGCCTTGTTACAGAGTTCATCAGCAGAAAATTTGAGTGAAAATGGGTTGGGCAAAAGCAGCAGTTTATTAATCTCTTACAAACATGGTCTTACAAACATCATACATTGCTGGCACGAAAGAACAGACACCATCTCATACACCATGCTTCCTTCCAAATCACTTCTATTGAGTTACAACATTAGAACAAGTCAGTTACTGAGTTACACAGTTCTTCAAACATGAACACCTCCCTGTTAGGGTGGTGAGATTGGCTAATCAGACAAACAATTAATTTACATCTTTAATACAGTACAGGATTTGTAACAGAAGTCAAGATATTCACATTAATATTGTAATACATTATAAAACAGGACAACTTTCAGAAGATGATGGGATCATGTGTGTCCCTGTCTGTTTCAATTGCTTTTCTGTTTTTCCTCTGTCTTTACTTAAACACAGTTGCAAGTTATTTTACTCAACTTTTCACATTCAAAAACACTTGTAAGATTTAATAACTAAAAACTATTTACAAATTATTCATTGCAATTTTAAAAAGTATTTGTTGTTGGTTTTGTTGTTTTACTTTAAAATAAAAATAACACCCTCCTTCAACAGTCATACTTTATGAGGTACCGCCACTAACTTCTGGTGGCTGTGAAGGATCTTAGGGTTGACTCCTGACAACTTTCCAAAGCTCTAAAATATACTATATTCCATGGCCCATGTGTCCAAATCTACATACATAAAAAGGCCATTGACTTCCCCAAACCACACACGAACTACAATTCATTTCATGTTGCTTTCAGGGAAATGTTGAGTGGACCAAGATGTTGTTAGGTGACTTTGTGGAGGGATGGAGACAATGATGGGGGAATGGTCTTTTCAATCCCAAAGTCATCTTAAAGCACAAAAAAAGAGGTCAGTTTCCATTTTTGTACATGTAAAACATTTTCTTTACATTAGGCATAGTCATAAAAAGTATGAAGAAGTTGTTTTGAAAATGCATTGTCATAGAATTTACAAACACTGAGATATCAAACACATTCTCAAAAACTGCTATAGTACTGACACAAAACCTGACTCATAATGTAAAATTTTCAGTAGACTTTATTTTCTAACTTGCATATTTAATAATTCAACCTTACCCGAGCGAGTTTCACCCATACTTCTCTAAAAGTTCACATATAGTGACATTACCTCAAGTTCATTCTTTCCAAATAGTCACAGGGCCATGCTGTACTCTTGATTTTTAATGATTTTCAGGGCCCTGGCATTGGAAAACAATGTGAGACACAATTCTATCTATAAACTGTTCCACAGAAAACAGCTCAAGGCAAATTAGCCTAGAAAAGATAGTGAAACATACTTTATTGTGCTAATTTGACAGCCTAAATATATTTTGTGTGAACATATGCAAATTAATTAGGCTTGCTACATACTGCTTTTTAATCATATCAGTTTGTTAGCTGAAGTAATGCTTTCTGTCTGGCAATGGTTAAAACTTCAGTCTTTTTTGTTTGTTTGTTTTTAAATAGTAGGTTAGTCCTTTTTGCAGAACAATTCAATGAAGACTTGGTTAGCCATGTCCTCTCTCTGTTCAAGGGCACACCTCGAATGTACACTGACATACTCTACGTAGTTCCTATAAGAAAACTGCATTTCTAACTGGATTTCTACCTGAAGTTCATTTCTTTACCCACTACTTAATTCAACAACTTCACAAGGTAAACAGGGCTTTCCTAGACTACACTGACACTTGTGACAGGCAGTGAATAATTCAAGGCCTTGATGGTCCTGATGTGAGATTATATTTTACAACATTTGACTCACATGTAACCTTAGGGGGAGAGAAAAATCATATTTCAGCCATAGTGTTCTCAACTCAGCCCTTTGATAAAATGATTACTCAGTTTGCTCACTGTTCTTTTGAAACAAACCTAAGTTACTCCTCTTAGGATAAAATCACATCAAATAATTACAAAACAAAGATCAATGACTATATATTTTTATATGTAGGACACCGTTTGCACATCACGTAATTAATAAAAACGAACTAGAGAATACTTCTTTAATATCTTTGGATCTAAAGAAAAATTATTTCCCCACCTGAAAAAAAGTATGAATTTTCATAAGTGAAGACACACTTTTCATTTCTAAATCTTAAGAATCCCATGATTCCCAGTGACATGCTCCAATGAGATCATGACCTCTGGGAGCCCACCATAACCTGGAACTCTACTGCTTTATTCGTAAAATGCTTGACTGCTCTTATTTACATCCCTGGTAACCTGCAGGAGGGACTAAATAGGCTTATGAAAATTTATCCAATGTCTCTAGGTAAGAGGAAATTTATCATGATAATTTACAGTTACTTCCTGGTCTGCTAATTCAATTCGTTTCTAACAACAACAATAACAACAACAACAACAATAACAACAAAAGGAAGCTTGCTGTCACAAGCTTGCAATTATATATCAGAAAGAAAGAAAATCATCCCTTGCCTAGTAAAAATCATTAAGTCCCAATGCATGGCCAGGATGCTAACCATCACAGAGCATGTGCCACTTGGCGATCTGTCTCCTTGGATAGTCACAGATCTCCTTCCAGTGCTCTCCACCGGTTCCTTCCGCGGCCGCTTCCAGGACCAGCCGCCCGATCACCTCATTGCGGGACCCCCTTTCGGAATCCAAAACCAGAAACTCAACACTGATCTCTTCAAGACCCTCACAAGGAATATCAAAGACAAACAGTTCGTTGAACACAGCATTGGGGGTGCATTTCTTCACATGAGTCTTCTTTTTGGAGATTCTCTTTTTGGCATGGTACAGGTTTACTTTGACGTAGGGGTCTGCAATGGGAAACAAGAGACATTACAGGGACAGGATCAGTTTGGGGAGCTGGCCTCAACACAGCTGTGCCCTCAGAGATGACTGGATGCCAACAAAGAGTGATTACAGCGAAAATGAGGTAGAATAGAGCAAAGATATGCATAAATCTGACTTTGAACATAACTAAGAACGTGCAGCATAAGAGAAAGTAGTTCTAAGCCAGAGGATGAGGAAGAAACTGTAATGTCAGGATGAAGAGATAACATAAAGGGGAAGAAAAGAGAATGTTCTGATGATACATTCTGAATACTAATAACTCATTACAGAGAATGAGATAGAAAGAAAAAAACATGAGTGAACATCTAACCTTACTGAGTTGTCTGACTTTGGATAAGTTTCTACTTTGTTGAGCTTGGGTTGCTTTGTCTGTTGAACAGGCATTTATAATTCACGGTGACAATGCCTTTTTAGGCTTTAATTTTTTATTCTTAATCATGGACATTGATAATAGTGTGGTGATTGCTGGGGTGGAGGGTGGTGGAAGTGGAAGAGAGTATAGAGGGATAAATGGCAATGGGAAAAATAAATAAATAAATAAATAAATAAATAAATAAATAACAAATGAAAGAGTTAGGGTTTGAACTCAGATAATTGTAACTCATAGGTCATATGTTCTTTCTTATCATGCCATATAACAAGATTGTTTTCTTAAATTAGTCACAAAAATGAAAAAGCTAATTCTGAAAGCAGATATACAAGAAGTTAAAAGAAAACATAATAAAATAATAGAAGTGTTCAGGTAGGCAGGTTCATTTAAAATACAAAAATTAAAAAACTTTTCTCCCAAATCTTTATTTTACATCCATCACTGTATTTTTGGCTATGGCCTCTCATCTCTGCATTTATCACTGCTTTCTGCTTAACTCCATTCAGACACCTACCTACAACTATACATTCTTTGGCTTAGATCTTAGAATACGTGGTTTTATTCTTGCTAATGGCATTGGCTCATATTATTATTCTATAAAATGATAAGCAGAAAAACTATCATGTCTTTTTTTATTATGAATAAGAAGATAAATCAAAATCATGATTATGTTCATTAACTATTTTGCCCAATGTATTACTCACTTATACACTGAGCCTGAGTCTTTCAGAAGAATTCTTACCTGAAAGTCCAGACACATCAGATTTAGGCAAGTGTCGAGCTTTTAGAACAACCACAGTGAGAGTGTTGGTAGTGGACTGATAGCAGAGTGAGATCAGCAACTCACCCCGTCCTGAAGACTTCTAAACAAAGAGAGATGTGGTATAAGATGTTTATTACTTTTTAGTTTCGAAATGTGTACATTTTACATCAATATAATAGCCTTGCTATTTAAGTGTAACTTTTCTACTTATTTTTATTTTAGTAAGCTAAGGAATCCAAGAGTTACAAGCTTTTGTGCCATATCATCACCTCTTGAAAACAACTGTCTGCCATCTTCTGGTCTCTTCATGTACTGCAGGATGTTAAAATGGTCATTGAGTTAGCCACACCCATTATTAAAATGTTTAAAATAATATTTAGAGCACAGCTTACACAGAGTATGTTTTACTTTTGCTCCTTAAATGAAATCTATACTTTTTGAAGTTATGAATAGTAATGTATTATATTATCTTATCACTTGAATCAATTTGTATAGGGCAAAATGACTCATGTCAAATTTGACTTTATTTTAAATTCTTTAACATTGAGATTATTGCAATTTGAATTCAGACCAAATGAAATATATTCTGACTTTCATCACTCTCTGGGTCCAGAGGAATGATGGAGTTAACATTCTCTGCCACCAACCTCCTTCCAAAGTCCTTATTTAATCTAAAAAGTAAATTAAATATAGGAGAGACTTGATGCAATTTTTAATGCTTTATATGTGGACAGTACCACAGGATCATTCTTTGCATAATACTTAAGTCTGACCTGTACTTTAAAGACATTACATCAGATTATCAAGAACTCAGAGTACCAGTTTTAGCTGAAAGTAGCAAAATGTAAACTTGCAGTTTGATTATAACTAAGAATGATGGCTGGGCCAGAGCTCCTAAAACTATAATATATATATTTATCCAAAAGCTGGCATGGGGTAGCTGTGTGAATACACACTTAAAGAAGAATAAAATACAGGCACAGATATACTGTGCCACTAAACTGCTGGTGACTCAAGCTAATTAATGTTTTTGGACCTTACCTTGAATTAAGTTCAACAAAGAGACAAAGGCAAGGATATGGTCAAAATGAGCTTTATGTTATTTTGTGAAATTATGCCTTAGAGACACAGGTTATTCTAAGATACCACAATGAGTTTGGTATTCTGTATGTAATGTGGAAATAGGATTAAATTTGATTAACTAATGTCTTATCATTTTGTGATAACCCCAGAATCAAAGTAGTACAGCTCTGCAGGCAGAGTAGCTCACTTTCTGTCATACAACATAAAGATGAGCATTTACAATTCAATATGATGTGATGTCTCCTCCTTGAAAAGCAATCCTATGAAAAGTCAATACAGCTTCCAAATCCTCAGGAGAAATTGATTTAATTTTAATTTTAAATTTAAATTTCAGATTCAATTATGCTGACCTTGAAACATCTTGGTTACCTTGAGCATGAATAAGAAATATTTTCCTGCATTTTATATAGTTGAAGTGGTATCTTAGTCAAATTGCTTATGATAGAAATTACTAAAAATATTTATATAAGTGATACTTAAATATCCAGAAAGGGTGTCTATGTGTTTTATATAATTAAAATGCCTTAAGCATTCAGTGATGAGTTAAACTTTCCCTCATCTACTCTATTCCCTTGATCCTGATTCTATTAAGATTAATAATAATTAAATATGGTAAAGCTGATATGTACAAAATTTTATTATCCTAATAAAAATCCCTAGATATATAAGAAAAGCTATATAAAAAAATTGTTTATAAATACTTTAAGAACTAAAAAAAAAAAGAATTACCCTAACATTTCTCTTGATAATCTCTCTGTTCATTAATATTTTTCCATCAGACAATTCAATTCCTGCCAGAGGAATAAGGACCTCTCCAATGATATCATCTCTTGAAAACCTGTCAAAACTCAGAATTGTGAAGTGCAAGGCCAACTCCTGGATCTGGGTGTAGGGGATCCCATAGAAGGTGAAGGTCTCATCAAAAGCTGGGTCTAAGGTCTTCCTCAGAACTCTGGTTTTCACTTTATGCTTCTTCTCTGGAAGGATGGTCATTTTGATGTATGGGTCAGAGGTCATCGATTGCTCGTCCATGGCTGGCAAGCCACGTGCTTCCTTGATATTGACCACAAATGTTTTCTTCTCAAAGTTGTACTCTAAGGAGAAGAAGAGGGTTCCCAGCTTCTCTTGTTTCTCTTCTGAGCTAAGTGAAGTGCTGGACTTTAAGCTATCAGGGGAAACCCCCTCTTTTTCCCCTTCTGAAAGGAGCTTTGGGGTCACATTCTCCAAATCAGGAGGGCTGCCACCTTTGAGGTTTGTTTTGGGAAAGTTGCCATTGAGATCTCTCTTCTCCAGGTCAAGATGCAATGCATTCTTTGGCACAGCTAGTTTATTCTTTACTTCGTTTTTGTCGTCAGCTCCAAACTTCTTTTTGCTACTTAGGTTTTCAGGGTAAATATCAACCCCCTTTAGCACATGCACAAACTTATATGGAGGAGTCTTGTTAGACTTGGATGATTTTCTCTGACAGCAGATCCATGCAAACAAAGAGACTGTGAAGACCAGGCCAAATGCGCTGAAGATACCCACCACTGTGGGGATTTCATCTGAAAAAAATCAAATGACCAATAATATACATTAAAGGGGCAGAGCTGGAGACACGAACCTACATAAAAGCATCCTAAAACTGGCAATTGCTATAAGTAGCACAGATCGAATTACTTTCTAACTGTTCTGGGTATGAGTGATGTACACATTTCCACATCATCCCCAGGAATAAACACATCCTTTGTGTGGCACACATACAAAACAAACAAACAAACAAACCATACAGTATGATAGAAACTTCTTCATTTCAGTAGTTTTCATAAAGGAAATGAAAAGGTAAGACAGGGACTGGGTCAGATGTTGGGGAATGCTAAATGATACTGACATAGCTTTGTTTTTTACAGATGAGTCAACTACAGCATGCTGGGTCGGTACAAATTATATCAGGTTCTCATTGGCATTTTGAGGCTTTGTAGAACCATCAATTCTTTCTGACTATGGAACTTTAAATGCACATCCTTCAGATACTGGGAGAATCTGAATTCTTAGTAGTTGTTCATTTACCCAGGATCCAAACATTTAGAAACTCAGTGATTCAGGTAATTTTAAGAAATTGTGAAACATTACCTGCCATTGTCACAGACTCACTAATAATGTCCATCCAAATGATGAGACAGTGGTAAAAGAAATGTACATATATTAGGGGAAAATAATTTAAAAGATGAAAAACAGGCTATTAATATTACATAACTTATAACACTACAAACTCCTTGTATATCAACCCTGAATTCCCCAAACACTGAATTATCTGAAGTACAAATTAATTACACCTAAGTAAGGTAAAAACCAAGTGGTTCTAAATGAAATATCATTCCTTAAAAGATAACGAGAAGAGTGAGTATAGATAATTTAGAGTTCAATTTTATCCATAACTGATTTTTCCGAGCATATTTCCACATGGAAAATGATAATCAAATTGAAATTGAAATTCTTTCCTTGAATGCAGGAACATTAAGTTACAATGACATTAGTTACATTGATTATGCATGAAGCGTATCATGTTCCATACGTAAGCATATTTCTTCCACAAATAATTAGTAACACTAAAAAAGTAGTGAGAAATCAGTATTGCTATATATGGACAAAATGCTCCAAATAGTCAATATTTAATATAGCCAAAGTGAATATAACTAATGTAATACTATGTACATTTATTTCCATTCCAATCTATTTATTTTCTTCCCAAACACTGAGGAATAAAGTTAAAAGCCCCAGTCAGGAAAGGGTTAAGTCTTGTTTAAATAACCCCTGAAAAAATGATCTTTTGTTACTCCCCTTCTCCATTCCCTCACATCTTCTGCTTGTCTACTTTATAATCACAAAACTAAGCTTAAAGAACATACATTAAGCACTAATTAAAACATTAAGAAATGACAAATAAGGACAGAAGTGTCTAGGAAGATTAAAAAAAGCAAACAGAACAACAATAAAATATCCTGTAGTGCAATTATATCAAGAAACTAAATCACATAGAGATGAAAAATAAACCTTTCAATTCCCCAAATAGAACAAGCAGCAAATGCTACAGTAAAAGAATGAGGCTAGAGATAATCAGCTAAACTTAGTACGTATCAGCTTTTCAGTTTTTCCTTCTATTCAAGTCATTGTGGGGGGGGAAAATCCACTCCTGGACTCTAATAAAACAAGGCCAGGGAGCAAAAGCAAAATCATGAACTAAAGCAAAAGAACAATAAAAGCCATAGAAGATGATTTTTTTTTTAGTAGACTGATGCCTGAGTGTTAGAAAATGTCTAACTTTCAAATCAGAAATTGGGAATAAATATCACAACAATATAAACCCAATCACCCAAAGGTAAGGATGTGAAACTCATTTCTGAATTAGTATCAGAAATCCTCTCTATTCAATCCTTATGTCAAATGGCAGAATATTCAGTAGGATATGAAAAGACTCACTCCCTGTGTATTTCCTACTGATAAGGTCTTAAGCTTTTGATTGCAAAGATCTCAGTCGTTTCCCTCAGCTTAATAACGATTACCATGTATTTTTAGATAGCATTCCCTATTCCCAAACTTTTATAAAATTTCTTGTGCTTTTGAATACTTGTAAAGTAAGTAAAACTCTAATCTCTTGTCTTTGGAATGTAATGGGACCTAAAGATAGGTTTTATTGTTGTTTTTTAATTTAAAGAACCACATCTCATTTTATTTATTAAAAGAAAAAAGAGCAATGGTGTCAACATTTGGCATAGGAAAAGGAAAACTGAACTGAAAAAAAGGAGAACTAATCCTAGTTTCCAGTAGCTTTTAGCTAACTGACCTGCAGCACTCCCTTCATCCTCTGAGCTGCCATTAGCTCACCTGTGAAAGGAACTGGGCTCAGCAACTTCGTGTCAAATATCCCTTTACTCCTATCTAGCATCATAGGATTCTGTCTCTTTCATTAGCAACATATTTCAAGAATACAAGAAACACCTATCAAGGAAAACATCCTCATGCTGCACTCTGTAATAAATATACATCCCCAAACCCCCACTATATAAAGTTGTGTTACGTATGCCAAGATCAAGCCCTTATGTAACCACAGGACATTTGGCTTCCCCTAAATTTACCTATAAATAAAAATCACCTACAGAATTCATGGAACCAACAAGCAAACAGACTCCCTTTCCTCCCCCCACTAGAGCGTGCTGCAATTTCCAGAGCTTCTTCAACATTTCAGGAACTTCCAGGATGTAAAATAGCCCCAGCAGAAGGCAATGTTAAGGAGCAAAGATGCTAGGGAGAGGAGAAACAGCCTGCATAAGCCACGATTACCCGTTTATTGTTCTCCTTTTCCTTTCAAATGAGCTACCAAGTAAATATATACGCAACATCCCGCTGGGGTTGGGGGAAACAAAAACGCAGCCCACCCAGAGTATTCAAAGGACGACCGCATTTATATAAGTTGACGAACTTGCTTACCAAATTCTTCCCTGCTGGTAGCGATCGGAGCCATTTTTTTGCTGCGTGCTCTGTCCGAGGTGCTGAACGGCAAACTCTCTAGCTCCGTTCCCTTGCCCGAATGGAGGCGCAGGCTTTCCCGAGTGCTGAAAACAACAGAGCGGCGCCGGGGACCTACGCCTGGAACGGGGAGGAGGCAGAGAGGGAGGTCCGCTCGCCCTCGCTCGGTGATTTGCCGCCCCTGTTCCTGTTTAGATTCTTCTGAGAAGCTGGTCTCTGAGACTCCAGACGCGGCTGAAACCCGAATTGACGCAATCCTGACGCTACAGGGTTGAAATCAGCACCTGCCCACCCCCTCGCCTCCTCCCTCCAAGCCTCTCCTCTCTCATTTTTTTTTCTTCCTTCCTCTCTTCTCTCCTGAGGATTCAACACACGCACTCATCGATTATTTTAACTGTTGGACAGCTGGACATTAGCTTTGCTGTTCTGTGGGGGTGACTCAGAGGCACATGGAGATGAGCCCTGAAACTCATCTCTGTCAGCTCAATAGAAAACCTTTGGGTCATCGAGACCCCCCAAAATGTGACTGAGTTTTTAAAATAACGTGATCTACAGAAGCATGTTAAGGGAAGAGTAAGAGAAATCTCTGCATCAAATGACCCATGGTAAAATGCAAGAATATATTTTCTTATTTTCTGAAAATTTTCATTGGTATTCCTATGTTAGAAAACAACTCATTGCACATTGATCTATTTGACATAAGGTAACAGTTTGTCCATTATGATGACTCATTTTCTAATAAATTATTAGTCTAAACATTTTGCTGACGCTGTTGCTCTGTCAGCTCGCTTCCCTGTAACATCTGACATTTGACCAGTTAGAGTACGTAGGAGCAGATGGTTATAATCTCTTCTGTATTCAGACTCACTCTCAGTTATGACTTTTGCATATAATAAGACTGCTTCTAGAATAACATTACTGGTAAAAAAAAAAAAAAAAAAAGACACATTGGCTTCTAATAGGGTTGTGGCAAAAACAGTTACAAGAACTGATCAAAATCTAAGATGACATTGATAACTATGGGTTATTTTGAAAGAAAAGCCCCCCCCCCCCATCTGATGATCTTCCTGGGGTAAGAGAAAATATGGTGTCAGTTTCTGATTAATTTTAATTTGGAGATTGTGTGTGTGTGTGTGTGTGTGTGTGTGTGTGTGTGTGTGTGGTGTGTGTGTGTGTGTGTTTAAATAAATGTTAGTAATTTTCCAAAGGAGAGAATTAATGCTGTTACACCATCTACCAATTATTGCTCCGCAAAGAATTCTTTTGCTGTGGAGCTCAGTGAGCAGATGAGATTCAGCTTGTGCTGGGATAGGGGAGGAGGGCACTGGGTGTGTCTCAGAAAGCTACTGCACAAGTGAGAGGTTCCTGCCCGTTTGTGAGCTGCCACTCTGAGCGTCAGGACTGTGTCTGGGGAGAAACTGGCTGCAGCCTTTTGCATCATGGAAAATTTTACAAACCAGGGTTTTCTTTCCCTTCTATGGCTCCCACATACTTACATACTTGGCATTTTCACATTTTTTTCTAACAGATTTTTTTAAACCTTGTATCTTCATGCTATGAAAACACACAGACTAATTTACTGTATTTAATTTTTCATTGGCAGAATTTGTGATCTGTGGCCTTATCTTTCACTTCATTCAGACTGTTTGTTCCTCAGTTAAGCATGCACCTGGTGGGATGGTCGGTAGTAATAAACACCCACTGGTGAGATGAAAGAGGGACATTTGTTTGTGTTGTATATCACAGGTAAACAAAACACACAGTGTGAGGTTTACTAATACATGTGTTTTCTAGCCAAGTTATTGCTAACATATGGTTAAACTCATTTGTTATAAACATAAATACCTCATGTGTATATTCCATATAAATTAGTATCTCATTAATTTTACCTTCAAGCGGTAAAATGCTGCCATGTAAAACCTGTCTAGATTGCTTCAACTCTGTTTTCACAAAACCCTGCCCCACCCTGGCCTATCTCATTTCTTGGGACACGTGGTGATAAGACTGCCTCTTACCCAGAGCCAATGCTATGGCGGGTGTGCTATTTCCTTGCTGCTTTAAAAGCAAACTGAAAATAACTGTTATTAATTAAAGTGCCAGAGGTTTTCCTCATTTTCCTTTGGCGAAGAGCATGTTATTCAGTATCCATTCTCTTTAGAAGAGCTTCTAGCAGCACCAGCTGAGGAGTGGGAAGCTGATCCAACACAGTAAAAAACCTGTAAGTTTCTTCTGATTGAAATTCACACCCGACCACATTGTTACATTGTTCTTTTAGGATCCAGCAACCAGGTAATCAATTTGCTGACGTGAGCAATACCCCTCTGGCAGCAGAGACTTGGGAGGAGGGGTTGTTGCTAGGGAACCACCTTTTTTTCCACCCAAAACACCCTGCCTCCAACAAGTTCCTGTCCTGGGAAACAGTCTGTTCTGTACAAGTGGCAGAGGTTACTTCAAAATGATTCTTTGACTGCTGAAGCAGTTCAGCGTTTACCCTACTTTATTTTTTATTCTGATTGCAAATGTTTATATACATTGAGAAACAATGAACAGAGCACTTGCATTTCAATTTAATTTTGAGGAGAATTCAGTTGAATTGATGACTCATGGTATGATTGTTTTTCTCCACTTTATTTATTTTTTAAAATTTAATATATAGCTTGATTTGCAGTTTATATATTCTATTGGTTATATATTTTAATTTATATTGTCTTTATTCCCTTAAAAATATTGGTGGGTGCATTTAGAACTTTCTGTTAGGCAAAAGAAAATTTTGAAAGGTTTTGAAAATGTTGTAATGAGCTTCAGTATTCTGTATCAATGCTTAGCTTAGTAATACAAAGGCCTTTTACTGGTATGTGGGTGGAGTAGAATAGAGTATCTGATAATGGATAATGGATAATTGCTTTAATGTTCCATATCATTCTATTAAGATGCTGGCTCTAGTGTTAATGGAGTTGATTTGTATTACAAGCACACCCAAGTCAAAACCCTGCAAGACAAATGCTTTCACAATTGGTACCTCAGAAATCCCTCCCTGTGCACCATTCGACATTTGATTTTCTTCAACAAACTCAGTATTTACTATGTGTCAATATAAATTAGGCTTTAATGGCTCATCAGTAAAAAATAAATAAATAAATAAATAAAATAAATAAATCATTAAGCCAAATCTAAAAAAGCTTATGGTTTTCATTCCTTACCGTTTTTTTCTTACTTTTAACACATACTTACTAAATATGTACTATCTCGTAAATTTTTAGTAAATAGGAGATATCAACTGGCCAAGATGACAAAAATGAGCCTTCCTTTCATGGAGCTTAAAGACTACAGAGGAAATGGGCATCCCTTTCCTCAAAAGTAGGGGATAGGGGTGCGGAGCTTAATCTATGCTAATAATAGCCTAGGTGGTCGTCATGCCCTCATGCATCATGCCCAAATGTCATCACAAAATGGCTGTCACAGGATGGCTGCGCACACAGCAGATTCGGGACCCAGCAGAGTAGGTGGGGCACAGCAGGGAAGGCAGCTGTGGGCGACCAGGCTGGCAGGGGAGCAGTTAGACATCAATCAGGCTGGCATGGGAATGGTTAGGGGGTGATCAGGCTGGCAGGCAGAAGCAGTTAGGGCAATCAGGAAGGCAGGCAGGCAGGTGAGCAGTTGGGAGCCAGCAGTCCTGGATTGTGAGAGGGATGTCCGACTGTCCTTAATCACCCCAAACCCCTCTGTCTGCCTGCCTGCTTGATCGCCCCTAACTGCTTCCCTGCTGGCCTGATTGCCCCTAACTGCCTCTACCTCACCCCACACTTGGGACCCAGGGTTTCCTCCTTTGGCTGGTTGCAGGCACCTGGAACTCGGGCTTCCCTCCCTCTGGCTGGCTACAGGCACCCAGGATCCGGACCAGTTTCGCTTGGGCCAGCCGCAGCCTCAAGGGAATTGTGGGTGGGTGGCTTTGCCTGGGCCTCATCCACAGCTGCCCTGGACTGTGGAGCAGAAAGCTTGTCCCTCTCTGGAGCAACAGCCACAGGCGCTGGAGCCCGGGCCCACAGGGCAGGAAGCTTGTCTCTCTCCTAGGCTGCAGGCACAGATGCAGCTGCTGGACCCCAGGACCCCAGGGTGGGCAGCTTGTCCCTCTACCAGGCCACAGGAGCAGCTGCTGGCACCCAGGACCAAGGGACCCTGGGGTATGCAGATTGTCTATCTCCCTGGCCAGGGCACAGGCTCAGGCTCAGCCGCTGGCACTTGGACTGCAGGGGAGATGGCTTGTCCCTCTCCTGGGCTGCATCCCCAGCTGTTGGTGCCTGGTTCCATGGCCAGGCAGCTTGTCCCTCAACTGGGCCACAGGTGCAGCTGCTAGCACCTGGGTCCATGGGGACCTTGGGGTGTGTGGATTGTCCCTATCCTGGGCCACAGCCTGAATGGTCCCCATTCCTCTCTCAGGAGCTCATTTGTGCCTGGCTGGTCCCCAGCCCTCTCTCCCCAGTGTTGAGTGTCTGAGCAGTTACTGCATGATGGGATGAGGGCATGATGCAAATGATGATCATTTGCATATTAGCTCTTTATTATATAGGGCTAGAGGACCAGTGCACAACATTCGTGCACTGAGTGTGTGTGTGGGGGTTCCTCAGCCTGTCCTGCACCCTCTTGCCGTCCAGGGCCCCTCAGGGGTCCTTAGCACTGCCACGGAGGTAGAAAAGGCTCTGCCACTGCCACTGCCCTCGCCAGCCCTGAGCCTGGCTTCTGGCTGTTTGGCGCTCCCCCCATGGAAATGCATTGGCCATCAGAGGGCAGCTCCTGCATTGAGCATCTACCCACTGGTGGTCAGTGCACATCATAGCGACCAGTCATTCTGCCATTTGGTCTATTTGCATATTAGGGTTTTATTATATAGGATTATTTATAAATCAATAAAAATGATACATTTTTTGTTAGATTGGCAGAAAAAAATATATATATATTTGGTGTGCTCATAATTTTAGTAATTATTTTATTTATGCCATAAGATGAAAATGTTGAAAACTATGACCTAAAATGATGTCATTTCCTGTACATTAGTGAAAGTTTGCAAATCACAAAACCAAAGCAATGTCATTATAACTGTTTGGCAGGAAGAGTCTGATATCAGCAAGCACAAGGTTTCATCTCTAAATGAAATTGAATGGAGATAAAATACAACACTTAGAGCAGGTTACAACATGAAATTAATAGCATTCCATTAATTGACAAGCCTTTCTATTTAATACATTTAATATTTTCATGAGACTATCAATAAATCTATTTTATAGATGAGAAAATTAAGACATAGCAAGAGTAGTTTTTTTTTCTCCTTTTTTGTTGCATAGGTACCTACCTTTATCAACATACCCCCAGAGAATCTGACTCAGAGATGTTGATGGAATTGATAAGGCCCCAAGGCCACACTGATAAAACTGAGCAAATTGGGCAGTGTTTGCACTGAATACATTTTTGTTAATCCTTTGACCTTGTTGAAACCAAGGGCCTTGTTCTCTACTGTTGAACTCTTCTCTAATCTGGCATAAGCACTATGGTTTCAAACCCAAATGATAGAGAAGAACAAAAATGAATCAATTGTGACATTGAATATTTATTACCAAGTGTTTGGAAACCCTTGAAGACAAAAGGATTATCTAGATACTGATATCATAATTTTTTTTTTTTTTTTTTTCTTTTTTTTTTATTTTTTTTTTTATTTATTTTTTTTAATAAGTTTTTATTGTTCATATTATTACAAATGTTCCTTTCCCCCCCCACACACACACACCATTGCTCTCCTCCACCAGGTTCCCACCCCGCCCTCTGCCCTTTCCCCTCTCCCCATTGTCCTCATCCATAGGTGCACAGTTTATGTTCAGTCTCTTCCCCCGCCCCCCTCTCCCCTTTACCCCAAGAATCATCAGTTCACTCCCCTTCCATACCTCTGATTCTATTATATTCAACAGTTAATATTGTTCATCAGATTTTTTTAATTTCCTTGGTTTTTAGATTCACTTGTTGATAGTTATGTATTTGTTGTTCATAATTTTTATCTTTGTTTACTTTCTCTTCTGAAAGAACCTCCTTCAGCAATTCATATAATTCTGGTTTGGTGGTGATGAACTCCTTTAGGTTTTTTTTATTAGTGAAGCTCTTTATCTGGCCTTCGATTCTGAGTGATAGCTTTGCTGGGTAGATTATTTTTGGCTGTAGGTTCTTGCTATTCATCACCTTGAATATTTCTTGCCATTCCCTTCTGGCCTGCATGGTTTCTGTTGAGAAGTCAGCTGACAATCGTATAGGTGCTCCTTTGTAGGTTACTACCTTTTTTGCTCTTGCTTCTTTTAATATTCTCTCTTTGTCTTTTGCTCTTGGAATCTTAATAATGATGTGTCTCGGTGTGGTCCTCTTTGGATTCCTTTTGTTTGGAGTTCTGTGCGCTTCCTGGACTTGTAAGTCTAATTCTTTCACCAGGTAGGGGAAGTTTTCTGTCACTATTTCTTTCAGTATGTTTTTGATATCTTGCTCTCTCTCATCTTCTGGGACCCCCATAATTCTGATGTTGGTTCGCTTGAAGTTGTCCCAGAGGTTTCTTACATTATCTTCAATTTTCTGGATTCTCTTGCCTTCTAGCTTCTGTGGAGGAGTGTCTTCTGGCTCTTTATGTTCCAAATCTTTGACTTGATTCTTGCAATCTTCCCTTCTGTTTTTAGGACTCAGTAAAATATTTTTTATTTCAGACAATGTAATCTTTATTTCTTGTTGATCCCTTATCATTTCTTGTTGACTCCTTATTAATTCTAGTTGATCTCTTTTCATATCCTCATAGGCCTTATCCATCTTTTCTAGGAAATTCTTGAAAAACCTTATAAGCGTAGATTTGAACTCTATATCCAGACGCTTTTTGTCCTCCATTTCTTTCGTTTGTGATCTATTTTGTTGTCGCATTTCGCAGTTACTCCTGATATCATAATTTCCCAAAGTTTTCTCTTTAAAAAAAAAATATTGAATTTATTGGTGTGGCTTACTTAATAAAATTATATAGGTTACAGATGTACAATTCTATAATACATCACCTGTATATTGTATTGTGTGTTCATAACCCAAAGTCAAGTCATCTTCTGTCATCATTCTATAACCAGAGCACAGTATTTTTCAAAGTTTACAAATTAGCAACAAGAGCATTACTTCATTTATCTATTTTTTTAAAGAACAGTGCCCTTCTTCTCATATTAGTATTTTCATTGTTTATTACCTCCTCAAGCTCAGTTGAATACATGAATCATACCTGATAGTCCCTTGGACATGCTGCATCATCTGATGGCTTTGATTGAGGTGGAGGTTGCACTGTAAAGTATCTGCATCAGTCAAAGGGTCTGTAGATGAAATGCCTGGAAGTGAGTCATCAAGAGTAACTTCTGGCTTCTATGAGTAATCTCAGCTCTCATTTGCACTAATGCAGCTTCCTCTCAAATAGCAGTGCATTTTTAATATGAAAATAGAATCATCTCATTTTAGAGCTGTAAGACTTCAGAGGTCTTTATACGTTCTTCTTTGAAATCTTGGAGGGGACACAAATAATGTAGTTAAGAGTGTTAATACATGATCACATATAGTATTCACTCTGAACCAGTATGTTTTTAAGCATCCAATGCTATATCCTTCTCAAAATAACTTCTAAAGTTTCTATATCTGGTTTGACTGCAATACTGTTCCGCTATCTCTTTCACTGATAAACATTCACAGAAGTGGAAACAATGAAAAGCTATGTTATGTTTGCAGTTCTAAGAATATGTCAAGTAAAAACAAATTATTGCTTTTTACTTTGAAATATTTGAATCTCTTTAGGCAGATTATGTATGCCATAAAGTTAAATATATTTTCTAATGAATGTTTAATATTATGAAAGGAAAATAAAATCTATTTCTTATGTGATGAAAGACAACCAAGAGAATCCAAACCTTTGCATGATGTTCCATTCAAAACTGTCCCCATTATCATCTCAAATTTAAATGCTCCTTCTAGTTACGCATGTTCTCATTATTTCTCTGTGTGCATTGATATTTATGGGATCAATATGTAATTTAGTATCAGTATGTTTAATCATAATCAGCCAGAGTGTTGTGTTTAGCTGAACCTATAAAATATCCTATAATGATCCCAAAATGTTTAATTTAAGAATCACTGCTTCTGTGCATATGAATCACAGACCTGTATTTAATTATTGATAGCAATTAGTACACAGAAGCAGACAAACACCATCTGGTGGTAGAAAAGGTTCTGTGGCTGATTCCCTTTCATTCACTCTTGCTTCTAAAATAGTGCATCATTGATGGTGTTCCCCCAGATAAGAAAATTGGTTTTATTTCTATATCCCAACTCCTGGAATTTCTGCCCTTTGAACTCCATAGTATCAATAGGCTTGTTCTCTGGCTAAAATAAAACAATCAGAACTATGGGGTGGTCAACTGCATTTGGTCACCATAAGCAGATCTCAATAAAAATTTTCAGTAAGAATTCCTCACCCTGTATCTATGTGTTTCATGAATAATAATAAGAATGATGTTAAAGAAATTGAACCTCAAGGTCAGACATTCAGAACAAAAAGCAATGCTTAATATAAAACCATAGGAAATGCCAAATATTAACTAATTAGGCTCATATTTTATTCAGACAAGAACAGGTGCATGTGCACACACACATGTATGAGCCTGTGTGTGTATGTTGATGTATGGCTTAGGGAGACAGCCTTCTTCTAGCTAATGAAATGTAAAATAGTAGTGACATGAGGATAGAGGAAATTACCCTGCCTCTTCTTAACAGGACCCACCATTGTCATTTCACCTTTGTAAACCTTTGTTCCCTCAGCACAGCTACTGACACCCCATATGGTAATATGTACTAAGGACCCAGAGCTGAGTCCTCTTTCCTCTTGTTCTGATTGTTTAACTCAATACATGTGCTCTGTTGTGCACACTGGGCAGAACTGGGTTATGTGTACAAATATTTTAATCCTCCCATCACTGGGGGTGGCTATGCTGGGTGCTAAGGCAGCCCAGCCTCCTGGGCACTCAGCTCCAGCATCAACTAGCTTCATCTAGGACCACCTAGACCAAAGCTCCACAGTTTGCCACAAGATCCCCTTTTCAACAGACATTCTGGGTAAAAAAGGATTTGCTATTCCATCTCACTAAGCAGAATGTAGTTAGGAGAGGATTCTGCCATGCAAACAACTACTTCATCAGCCAGTGACTGAGTGTTCAATAGCCTCCCAGGTGAAGGTGCCTAAGGAACTTCTGGTAGAAATTGTGGGTCAAGGAAGCTACCCAAGTGCAGCTGGAATAGAGGATGAAGGCTTTGGGAAGGTGAAAGGCTAAGGTCTCAAATCTCTGCTGTTATGCGTAATTTGGATATGCCTGCCTTCACATACCAAGGGTGCCCCCCAAAATGCATAGATACTTTGAATACTTATAAAGGAAGTGTTTTTACTTTAACTGCCTTTTCAAACTTCCAGTAGCACTTTAGGATGAATTCCCTTTGTTCAACACTTAGTCTAGCAGAAAAGAAATAAACATCAATTGAACTATCAGCTGTTAAAGTGTCTATACATGTTTTGGGACACCCTGTATTGACCTGTGTTCTTTTGCCACTGATATGTGCTTAAATGGAGTCTAAGTGGAAGGATCAAGTAAAAGCAAACAACAGCAGTCAACTTTACAGTCTAATGAAGCCGAAAAAATGTGTATAAATAGGAAGTTTGAAGCTGGATCAGAGTTGTGAGTCATTTGTCCATTCACAATGGGGCCAACAATGGGGCCTAGACTCTGGGAAGAGTAGCCTGGAGGAGCCCAAAAGCCAACATCAAGTTATTGGGGATTGGCATCAGTCATACTCTGATGGAGACTTGGGGAAGCAGGAAGAGTGCCTGAGAATTTTCAGAGAGTGGGAGGAAATCAAGGCCCAAGCCCAGATTCAGACCACAAACCACAAAGCCATGGGTGCCCATGGTGATGACTCAGGTGACATTTGCAAGGATAGTAGCTAAGCAAGGAAAATATGAGCACCCAAACCGAAATTTCATATATATATATATATATATATATATATATATATATATATATGTATATATGTATATATATATATATATTATTATTATTATTATTATTATTTTTACAGAGAGGAGGAGAGAAGGATAGAGAGCTAGAAACATCAATGAGACAGAATCTACCAGCTGCCTCTTGCACACCCCCTACCAGGGATGTGCCCGCAACCAATGTACATGTCCTTAACCAGAATCAAATCTGGGACCTTTCAGTCTGCAGACTGATGCTCTACAACTGAGCCAAACCGGTTTCGGCCAAAATTTTATATACTTTATCTATTTTGCATAATAGGTACTTTTTATCTATTTTGCACTTTAGATTTCAATAAAATATATTTTCTCTTTTTTGGGGAGGTGGGGGTGGGGTTGGGAGGGGAAGAGACTACAATGAAGAAGGAAACTTATTCAGTGCAATATATAAGATTTCTTTTAAATAAAGAATTCAAACATTAAAAGAGCCTCTAAAACACTATTTGCCTAGTCCACAAAGGTGATGGGCACACAGCATCTCAAAAGCCAGACCTGGGTCCTGCTCAAGGGAGCAGCATGATTCACCTCCAAAGATGGATGGTGGCACATAGGCCTCAGCTGCTCCTGCTGAGGTTCAATAACGGAAGTAGCCTCTGCTGAGCTGGTGTCCAGGAAAGAGAAGAACAAGGGCACAGCAGGGACTGCTGAGGTACACAGGACACTCCCAGAGGCAGTGCAGAGTGTTGAGTGGGTTGGGGATGTGGGCTGATTTCTGCCTTACTCTCAGTGACTAAGGTTGGGTGGCGGGGGCGGGGGGGGGGTGGGGGGAAGATTCTTGTATGTGACTTCTGCCAGTTGCAGAAGGTTTGATCAGATTTTATGAAGAAAGATGCAAGGGTTCTTAATCTTATCCACGGACTTTATCCAATTTCCATGAAGAGGTTAAAAGCATCACAGATCACCATACTATTTTCTTTATACATTGTCCCTGAACTATAGATAATTGTGGCTGCAGCAATTCATTAAATATTCATTTATTCAAACAGGAATTAGGAAAAGTCAAGAACAATGACATAGCTGCAGAGGGCAAATTTGTTCAAAAGGTCACCTACCTAGTTTTTCCCAATAAGATTCTGGCAGAAAATTTGAATAGGTGGTGATTTTGATTATAGAAAAATGACAAATTGAGCCAGGTCCTTGCTGCTAGGAATACATTCTAATTGTATTATTCTAAAAAGATGCAGAAGTAAAGGATGAATTCTTACGTTCTACAAACCTGTTCTTTTTGGGTGGCCTCTGCATTGGTAGAGAGGGCAGAAACCCTTCCTCTAAAATTATTTGCACAAACTGCTACTGTGTTCATGTAGGAGTGGGGCTTTGGAGAGTTTATGTTTAAATGTCCAGGAAATACATGTTTGAGATTATGCCCAGTAATTCCTGCCCCCTTCCTTTCTGACCGAAGAAGGTGCCTTTGAAGGGAGTTGCCTTGGCTATGCGGTTCATAGGCAGGTTGATGAAAAGTAAGAAGGCAGTTTATCTACTTTTAAGTATAGGAGCAATTAAAGTTAGAAATTATAATACAAAATGTCACATATGGTGAAGAATTTCAAAAGCTACATGAGGGCTGATGTCCAATTGAATTCCCGAAAAAGGCCAACAGAGTATTTGTAATTCCTGACCATGTTATTGTGCATGACCCCCAGAGGGTCAGCAGAAATACCTGATATGAATAAAAAGTGAAAAATAGTTTGCACAAAATTAGATCTGTGGCTTGCCCTGAATGGTAATGGCAACATCTAGAAAAATTCTTAGTGCAGATTTTTATAAAATTGACTGTTTTGTAAAATAATCTATATTGAATGTTTTTACATTATAGTGGTAGGTGAAGACATATTACAAAATAAATAGATTATCATGAAATCTAGTTAAAACCATTGAGAACTAATAGAAAAAAATATGCTGGCTTATTAGAGAAATTCTTTAAAATGTGGCCCCATAAAGAACTTGCACAATGGAGAGAAGTCTTAAAATAATTAAATCTCAAGATCTGAATATATTTTAAAGGTCATCTAGTCTAACGAATCAGTGTTAAAATAATCCAAATAAGATTCCTCACAGAGGGTTATTGATTTCTGGACACAACCAGGGGATCATGAGACAGCTAGCATCATGGTTAAAGTATGGCCTCAGGAGCCACGTCCACCACTCAAGTTACATAACTTTGGTAGGTGACTTGGCCACTGTAAGCCTCCATTTCTGCATGGGTAAAATCGACATACTAATAGTACAACGAATCCTCATTAT